CACCATATTCCCCCCCCAGTCTGGGTCCTCATTTCCCCCACCTCGGAAGGATGGATGGCTGAGTCAACCTTGAGCCGGTGAGATTTGATCCGCTGAACTGCAGATAGCAGTCAGCTGAAGTGGCCTGCAGTACTGCACTCTAACCACTGCGCCACCTCAACACGGGAGTTCCCTTTTGACTTTTATTCTACCTAGAAAGCAGTAGTTTATTCTTGTAAAAGTTCTCTATTCATGCTTTATGCATCAGCTGTGTCAGCTCATTTGCATTTTTCTCTGCCTGGCCTGTTAGTAAATTGGATTTGCTAAATTTGAAATTTTGGCTTTGGGTCAGATTTGAGTGGGCTCAACTTGAAAGGTTCAGATTGAAATGTCCCTTCCAGCTTTCTGCTTTTATAATCCTCTGGTTAATTAACAGCTCAGCTATGGCTCTCTCAGCTATATCATACATCTGATATAGTTTTGTGATACACATTCATTAGCTAATTTCTCAATTGAAATTAGTCTTAGCCCATCTGTATATGTTTTGGGTAAAAAAGGAGAACAATACAAGGTCCCAAACCCTGTGAATATCTAGACCTGTCCAGAGTGCATTCAGATGCTGTGCAAGATTTCTACAAATGCGAAAAACTAAGAAGCTTAGGAATTATTTTGCCTTCCAAAAGAGTAAAAAATGAAAAAAAAAACCACCTTAATCTCAATTTTCACATTCTCTTTCTCCCTAGAAAAATATGTGATCCGGGCCTAACTTCGTTTGAGCCTGAAGCGCTGGGCAATCTTGTTGAAGGGATGGACTTCCACAGATTTTACTTTGAAAACTGTGAGTAGAGCATTGCATAATATAAAAGTGAGCAATCCCAGCGCTTTGTGGCCCCCAAAACATCCTTGAAATGTATGGGTTTCAAATTTCTGCCTCCCCCTCCTTTTTTTCTGAACAGATTCTGAAGCAAAACTAGAGCCTTGATGATTGAGCCTTCTAGAAGAGAAAGATACACACTTTTATCCCATAGAAAATAGTCTGTCCACCCAAATTTGTGTTCAAATTTAAAGAGCAAAAGGGTGCCCCAAATTCCTTGCAAAAAAACCCTACACTGAACTGAACTAAATTAAACAAGCTAAGCAAGAAAACTTTTGCTCCTCCCTGTTCTAGTCCTTCCTTTTATCACTGAAGATTTGTCTTCTTTGGTCTTAGACCAGCTGTCAAAATTAGATTTCAGCCTGCCCTAGCAGTTCAATTTTAGCTAGGAAGCCTGTAAATAGCAAATAAAACAGAAATTATTTTTTTTTAAAAGGGGGGGGGGAATCAAAATAGATTAGCACAAATAAGCAACTAGATCAGCCTATCTAAAATCTTACTTATAGAGGTTCTGCTGAAGCTTTGATGCTGGATAACAGGACTTTGCAACATTACAGGTGATGTAAAACATTATTTTACAAACCAGTTAAAACCCAAGTACCTTTCCAGCCACTGAAGCAAAAGTTTTCCTGCTCTTCCTTCCTTCACTTCAGGCCAAGTAGAATTCTAATCACTAGTGCCTAATTGAGTCATACCTATCCAGTAATCCATATCAGCTAGAAAAACCTGGTGAAATCCAATCAAATCAACCATTTTTGTTACTTTTTATAAATAATTAAAGGCAGCAAATATACCTACTACTCCTTCTTCTTCCTCTTCCTCTTCTTCTTCTTCTCCTTCTCCTTCTTCTCCTCCTCCTCCTTCTCCTTCTCCTTCTTCCTATTTTTCTCACAACA